GTTTCTCATGATCTACCTAGTCATATAAAAGCAAGACTTATTCTCTACACACTAAATTAGAGAACTTTGACAACATCTTCTGCTTTTGTTCCATGTCGACCCATTTAATTTTCATTTTTTCTTTTTTTGTGTGTATGTATTCATGTGTTTCTCACACATGGAAGTAATTTGGCATAACAAAACTCTTTAATTTCTATTCATAATAGTACATAGTGAATAACTTCAGCTGAGTGAACCTAAGTTAATTGCCTTCAAGATAACTTAGTTTCTTTGCTTGTAATAGTCAACCTAACTAGGATTAGAAATATTTTACAGTTTACTAGAAATATATGTCTGCTAAAAACCATATGCATACTTGAGAAATTATTTTTATGTATTTTATACTATAATTTGGAATATATTAAGTATAATCAAGAAACAGAAACTTGTAGAAAATTGCAGTACATGATATATGTTGTGAACCACAATTTTATCAGAAATTAATTATAAGGATTCTAATTAATCATGCTATATTAAATAAATATATTTAACTCTATTGCTATCATCTTGACCCTTTTCAGTAGTTCCAAATATTGAAGTAGGAAATAAGTTGCTGTCATCTCTTTTAATCACTTTTGCCCTTTGTTACAAGTAGGAGAAGCTATCACTTGTGTAATTATAAGGATTTAGAATCTGTAATTCTCAGAAAATCAAAGGTAAAAGTGATTAGTGGCCATAATTCCAGTTATATAAATTAATATATGTTGTTAGTTATTATTTTGAAATGACCCAGAACAAAATTAATTTTTATTTGTCCTTATGACTTAATTCTGTGTTAAACACAAGGTGTGCTAATGGATGATATCTGATTTGAACATTCAAAATAGTAGAATCATGCTTAGCCTGTTTCATCATATTTGTGAATTATGAGGCTCAGGACAACCTGGCTATTATTGTAATAATGTCATCTGTCAATATATAGTCAGCAATTAAGTTAGAAAGAAACTTTTTGAAAGAAAACTTACTATGATTATTACCTCATATTAATTGTTCAAAATATTGGGTTTGAAAGATACCTTTTTAGGTTTTAAATTTAAGTCCTCCTCCCCCCAACAAGTAAGATGTTCTGCTTTTTGTGTTGAATTTTTTTATTATGAATTTCAAAATCTCATTTAGAAAACATGGATTTTCTTCAATGTTAAAGTAGCATCAAGGGGATGCTATAAAACAGCATTTGGTAAGTTTTTGCACACAATAAGAACAGAATTTTCACTAACTGATGTTAGTGAAAATCTTTGATAAATTATCAATTTTCATATATATATGAGCCATGTCTTAGACAATGATAAGAGATTAATAATTTTTATTAAAAATTTGAGTTTGATTCAAATGAATTTTAGGAATGCTTTCTCTAGTTCTATGATGTGTGAGAATGGTATTTTGATTGATATTGCACTAAATCTGTACACCAGTTTTGGGGGTATTGCCATTTTCACTATGTTGGTTCTTCCTATCCAAGAGGAAAGGATATCTTCCTATTTCCTGATATCTTCTTCGATCTCCTTTTTCAGAGTACTGTAGTTTTCAATGTAGAGATCTTTTACTTCCATTGTTAGAAGACTGCTAAATATTTCTTTTCTTTTGATACTATTATTAAGGGTGTTGTTTCCCTACTTTCTCTCAGTGAAAGTGTTTTCTGTGTAAAGGAATGCTATTGATTTTTGAGTGTTGATTTTATATTCAGCTACTCTATTGATTTGAGTTATTAAATTTAGAACTCTTTAGGTGGAGTTGTGGGAAATCACGATCGCTGTCTTGAAATGATACTATAGAGCTACTGTGATAAAATCAGCATGGTAGTGGGGAAAAAACAGCCTTAATGATCAATGGAACACACTTGAAGATGCAGAAAGCACTTCAAACTCACTCAGCCTGCTGATATTTGACAAAGGGGCCGAACATATTCACCAGAAGGATAGCCTCTTTAATTAATAGTGCTGGGAAAACTGACTTTCCACATGCCAAAGACTAAATTTGCACCGTGTCTATCACTGTGCACTAAACTAAAATCAAAATTGATCAAAGATCTAAATATTAAAACAGAAATATTAAATCTTCTAAAACAGAATAGGTAGAACTCTGGAAGAAACAAGTGTAAACAAAGACTTTGTGAACAAAACCCCAATCACACAGGAGCTACTACAAAGAATCAACAGGGATATCATTAAAAAACTTGAGCACAGCAAAAGAAATCACCAACAGAGTGAAATGACAACCCACAGAGTGGGAAAATACTTATGCCAGCTGTTCTTCAGACAAAGCACACGTATCTACAATAAAATTGAAAAAAAGCCAGACTCTCTAAATTCAAAATTCCAATGCAAAAATGGGCTTTAGAGATGAATAGACATTTCTCAGATAAAGAAGTACAAACAAGAAATAAATATATGAAAAAATATTCCACATTACTGGTCATTCAAGAGATGCAAATTAAAACAATACTGAGATTCTATCTCACCCCAGAAAGAATGCCTATTATGAAGTAAACAACTAAAAACAAAAGCTGGCTGGCTGTAAAGAAAAAGTAATCCTCCAATCTTAGTGGGAGTGTAGGTTGGTACAACCATTGTGGAAGTCACTGTGGAGTTTTCTCAAAAACTAAGACAACTGGTCCCATTTGATCCAGCTATTCCTCTACTGGATCTCTTCCAAGAAGTATTAAAAGCATCATACCATGGTTATATACATGCCCTATGTTTATAGAGGCACAGTTTGTAATAGCTAAATCTTGGGAGCAGCCCAAATACTGATCGACCAATGATGGATGAAAAAGATGTGGTTTTTATAAAATGGGCTATTTCACAGGCAGAAAGAGATGTAAAACTGTGACATTTATAGCTAAATGGATGAATCTTGAGGCGATAAGCATAAATGAAATAGATGAGATACACATGTATAGATATTGCATTATCTCTCTGATGTGAGAAACTGAAAATGTAAATAACATAAATGTGCAAGAAATATAATGAAGAAACTGTTCAAAACAAAAAGGGTAGTACGGAACAAGGAGGGCAAAGGAAGAAAGGGAAAGAAAAATGTAAGAACAGAAGGATAAACTAAAACCCAACTTTGGTAAATGAGCAAAATAAGGGGGTTTGAAGAGAGGAGATGGGAATGGGGAGAAAAAAAGAGGGACCAAGACATATCATAAACCAATACAAATACCCTATAATTAACATGGCCATTATATATACTTACATTGTATCAATAAGTTTAAACTAAAATATAGTAAAATTAAATATATAATAATGATTCCAAAAAGAATTTGATTTGCTTGTGAAAACTCATCTTTGAATATAATCCCACACAGGATTATTTTTCTATTTTTAATTTATATAAGAACATTAAAAGCTAATTTTGCCCATGATAACTTTGTTGTTCCATAAAGATTTTATCATATTTCAAGCAGCATGTGATTTATGAATAGTCAAACTCAGGCAGTAGATACAAATTTAAATTTGATTTTTTTTTAATTTGATTTGTTATTGTACATGCCAAATCACTTTAAAGCATAAATTTTCTTAGAGAATATTAGTAAAAGATAGCAGTCCATTTAAAATTATGTAGTTTACTATTTCATATTAATACATCCTTGAATCTTACTTGAATCAAAAGAAATACGTAACAAGAGAAATTATTTCTGTACAATTAGTAAGAGGATATTTTTATTCTAAGAGTTACTAAGCCGAGGGAATATTTATTTTTTCAATTAAATTCAGCAATGTGCAGGTAGGTTATTGGGGTTGATTTGGAGAAGAGAGATGAATTTGCCTCTAAGCTATCCCATGTACTTATTGCAGTAGGCAGCTTGTATACATCACCATACCAATAGGCAGAGTGGATGTTTAATTGTATGACAAAATGGAGAACGAGAGAGGAAAATCAGAGGTTTGCTGGGAGAAGTTAGGAAAGGCTTCAAGGAGGTAGGATTTGAGATGAATTTTTTAGTGTGTAGGCAAATATGGTATATACTGATATATGAAGAATGTTCGATAGTGAACAGTGATTTTGATTCTGGGAAAAATAAGTTAATATATAGTCTTTTGTGGGACAAATAGCAATCTATTTGATACATCAAAATCAAATTAATATATGTTATATACAAATAAAATAACCAGAAATCTAGCTTCTTTGGTGCTAAGACATTATTATTTCCCTAGTAAAAAGGATTTGCATGTGATTGTGAAGGGTAGGAGGAGAGAGTTGAGTACAGTGTGTTTAAAACCCAATAATTTTCAATAATTGCCTCAATTTTCTGCCTTCTTAGTGAATGCCAATTGGAATCAGGATTAGCTCTGAGGTACAATGGTGGGTAATATAGAGCACTTTAGCCTAATTTTTATGATTTAAGCCTTCAAATAAAAAATTATTCAAGCAAGGGTGCTTTTCTATGTGCAGTTCAACAGGTGGAAAAGAGCATAGTTCTTCACAGGTTACACTACAAGAATTCACTCCAACACCAGAATGCCAAGCCCGTTATTCAGTCAAGATAGTTGTATGTACTTCGCTTGCTTTCAGAATTCATGTTCTCTGCTCCAGTCTAATGAGAACAAAAGTATTTATCACTTATTTAACATTTCTCAGATTTCATTTCCCAAATTAATCAATTATGCTTAACTCAACTATTATGACTATCAAAAAAGCAAATTGTATTCGTTCTTCTGTTTATAGAAAACATGATAACTATTTAATATCTTTTTCTATATATTAGCTCATTCTAATTTATTATGTTCAATTATTTTACTCATAATAATAAACCTTACTCTCTAAGTTAAAAATATGCTTATCTCACCTTAAGAATATGAAATAATTATCAGGAATAAACATATTGTTCATCATTAGTATTTTAATATATGGTCTTATTATTTACAATTTAGATTACAATTTAGATGTAAACATATGTATATATATATGTATATATATATATATATATGTGTGTGTGTGTATATATTTTATTTTATTAGGCAATTTATACTCCTTGTAGAAAACTTGAAAAGCACAAAAAAGGCATGATGGATCAATAAGAAAACATAATTCTACTCCCTAAGATAAAGTACATAATTAACTTTGGTTCTTGTGACAATTATTGTGATTGTCAATGATTAAATTAAGAGATGCTTAACAGCTTAGAAAAGTCCAGTTCTGAGTATGTCTGTGGAATGCTTCCAGAGATCATAGACATGTAGGCCAGCAAACTGAGGGAGGAAGACCCACCCTGTTGATGGGTTGCACCATCCAATGGACTTGCAGATGGATGCAATACATCTGAAAGAAAGAGAAAGTTAACCTGCAGTTCAAAAGCTTCATTCTGCTTGAGCGGGTGCATCTTTTGCTAGTACCATGGCCTATGGACAGCAGAGCTCAGCTTCTTTTGCTTTTCTATGTGAACTGACATAGAAACTCCAGGAAGCTTCCAGTCCTTCGGTCTCAGAATGGCACTGTATTCTCAATCCCTCTTGTTCTGTGGCTTCCAGCATCATGGCTTGAACAGCTCCCACATCCTCTGGCTCCCCACCATGCAGACAGCCATGCAGCTCTCCTTACTGTGAACCTGTAAAGATATCCAGTAACTTCCCTTGCACAAATGTTTATATATTGTGTTCATGAAGAAAACACTAATATACCATAATTTGGTTTAAAATAAGTATTAAAAAGTAATGGTGTGGGAATGCAGCTCAGTGGCTGAGAGCTTACCTAACAAGCATGGGGTTCTGGTTTCAATTCCTAGCGCCCAAAGAGAAAGATCAAGATATTAAGTTGGCATCTTCTTTATATCCAAATAATTTAGAAAGTAATTTTAGGGCAATACAGGCTAATACAGATATATATATATATATATATATATACATATCTATATATATATATATATATAGATATAGATTTAGATATAGATATATAGATATCTATATATATAGATATATAGATATCTATATAAATATATATCTATATCTATATATCTATATCTAAATCTATATCTATCTCTCTCTCTCTATCTATCTATCTATATATATATATAGAAAGAGAGAGAGAGTGAGAGAGAGGCTAATAATGATGTAGAATTTTCTTCCTGAAAGAATTTCACCAATGTCTTCACCATACAATGATCAAAATTTCTTTTAACATGGATTCAGCTAATTTGCAAATGCATAATGATACTTTTCTTTTAGCTGTATGTGGCTTCTTAAAATGAAAAGTTATGTCTAGTGAAAAGTACTTACAACTGAGATGATTTTTACTAACTTAATTTTCCCACCATGACAGTCTATTCATACAGTAGCTATTGGCATATTCTATGAAGGATGTCAAAAGTAGTGTTATTAGTTAGAATATAAAATATAGAGTTTTATGTACCAGGTACTATTTAAGAACAGCTTAATGGTTTCATTAAAATAAGATCATTCTGCTTTCATTTCATTAAGTGTGGGGTAATGAACAAGAGAAATGGAATGTGGTATAATTCATAAGTTGTCTTATTTCTGATGTACTGTTAATGTATCAATTAGACCAACAATTGCTTAGGGATATCTAATATAGTACTGGCCAAAATATTTTAGGTGTTCTGTTAAAGTCTTGAAATAGTCATTGGATTACATTATTTTCTTTGTGAATGCTGTTGTGTGTGTGTGTGTGTGTGTGTGTGTGTGTGTGTATTGTAGGAAAATACAGGAATTCACTATTCTGAAATCCCTTTCAAAATGCTTAAATCCTTCAGGACTCAGGGCTCTAACTTGAAGAGTCCAGTTTTTGTGTTTAGCACCCTCTTCTAATTTTTGATTAAGCAACTTTAAATTTTTAAGTTATGCTAACAAGAATGTAGAGAGAGATCCTGGGCAAGACATAATATCTTGGTGCTTTTGCAAATGTTATCTTTTAAAAATCAGAAATGTTATCTAGCTTATTTGTCTTTTGTACTTAGTCTCATTTTCTGTTATGCAGTTCACAAATTGCAAGTTTCCCTTTCATGTTAAGCAATGGGATGGAATGTTCCTCACACCATTAGGAGATTAAATCTCCAGCAGCAAAGCTGGTTTCATGAGAACCAACTCTATATGAATCAGTCATGGCACTGATAACTGATAGAAGGAAATCTTTTCCACTCTGATAGGAGAGACTGCACAGAAACGAACTGTTAAGTTGGTTTTACACTGTAGCTATTAGTCATTTTTTTGGTGACTTTTACTAAATCTAGTGATTTGTTAGCCAGTGAAATGATCTTTTATCATCTTGGGTACTGCATTCCTAGTCTATAACCAATAATGTATCAAAATAAAATTTGAATTTTATTCTTTCCCTGAAAGTTTCCCTGAAAATTAATATTTATGTAGGTCCATACTTTCAGCAGAGTATTTCAAAAACAGTTTGGATGTGGTTTTTTTTTTCCTCTAAAGAGCACAGTTTGCTGAAGCATTTCATATAAAGTTAACCAAAAATCTCACTACTCACTAAACCCTAGGAATGTAACAAATATACAAGCACGATCAGAAGAAAAGGAAGTGCTTTTCTACAAAAATTCTCATTGCAAGTACAAAATAAAAATATTTCCTTTTTTGTCCGTGTATGATCTTTTATATTTGCAGTATTCTAAATACTATTGATGTTATTATTCTTGCTATCATTTAGATTTAAAATATTAATCCATAACATAGTACTGTATTTACTTAGATTTTCACCTATTTCAGACTCATGCTGGATAGATTGTAAGTCCAGGTCAGTTCAAACAACATTTAGTAAGTAACTATGTACCAGAGATTATTTCCAAGGCTTTGGATATGCAGTAGGAAAATGTGGTTTCTGCTTTTACAATTTAAAAAACAAATCATTGAATATTTAAATGTTTTCAACTAGACATCGAGCAAAGCAAGTTATATATAAATATTTATTACTTATTTGCTATAGTTTTATGATTTTTCAAGAAGGACTAAAATTTTTTTTGAAAACATAATTGATTGCTTTTTAAAATAGATATTTTCTTAAAACTTAATTTTAAAGAGAAAAAAAACAGAACAATAAAATGAATTGAAACATTGATAGCCCAGTAGGAAATGTACAATAGTTACTATATTGCATAATGTTGTCCTCTACGTAGTTGCTCAGAGTACTGGCTTTAGGCTTGCAAAGTCAATAATGGAACCACTGAGACCCAGGCCAGCCAGACCCAGACACAGAGGCTCACACACACCTTTGGCTGCAGAGTGATCGCAAGGCCAGCAGTGAGGAAGTGTCGGAAGCAGCAGTGAAGATGCTGCTGTTGGGATCTGGAGAACTCCACCAACAGAAGACCAGTCCCAGCCCTGACATCCGAAGGTCACAGTCAGCTCTGTACCCAGCTGACTGCCATGGCAGACTTGGCCAGAGTCCATAGCACATTTCTGGAATCTGACAGAAACACTATCTGTAAGCACCAGAGATACTTTACTAAAAATATTTTACTTTTATTCCCCCTTGTTCTTATGATTGGCTGTCATTTTCCTGTCTGGTTGGAAGTTCTTTTGTTTTGTCTTGTATTTTGTAGCATTTTTTTTCTTTTCTTTTTTTTCCTCCTCTTTTTTGGTCTCCATTGTTTTTCTTTTTTCCTTTTATCTCCTATTTTTTCACTGTTTAGGTTTCCTATCTTTCTTTTTTTCTTCTACTGATCTTTCTTTCCTCAGCTACTTTTTGACTTTTTTTTTTCAATTTTATTTTATTTTTGTCTTTTTCCTTTTTATCGGTACCGGGGATTGAACTCCCGACTGCCTGCTTGCAAGGCAGGCGCTTATGCCGCTGAGCTAAATCCCCAGCCCCTACTTTTTGACTTTAAACTTTCAAGGGAGTAAACATCATCTCTTCCCTCTCTGATTACTCCTTCAAATTCTATTTCACACTTTTCCTCCTGTGGCCTCCATTTTCCCAAAACTCAAGTGGTTTATCCTTTGACCTCCAGCCTTGAGTCTACTATATTTCACCTCGTTTCTCACCTTACCCTGTCCATACCCATCTAAACACCCCACACAACAGCAGCATAAAATCACTCCACTAAGGAAAAAAATATTGCAGGCAAGTACATGGTATATGTTTCATTTTGTTATATAACATCAGAGTTTGCACCTGTGGTACGAAGTTGCATGATAATGGTTACCATAGTTTGTCAGTAGTTAAACTACACTTGAAATCATTATTATTACCATCTGTACTACTTAGGTCAGGATGTCATAAATGTTGTAATCAGTTTTCTCCCTTGTGTAACACTGTACCAATTTCACTGCATTGTCTTGATTAGCTTTGTTCTGTCTTGTTTTGTTGTATTGTCCTACCTTCAAAATTTAAAAAAAAAATCACACAATCTCTATAGATGCAGAAAAAGATTTTGACAAAGTTCAACATCCATTCATGATAAAAACCCTACAGAAAATCAGAATAGATGGTCTTCACCACAATGTTATAGAAAGCCATCTATGAAAAACCAACAGTAATACCATACTAAATGTTCAAAACTGAAAGCTTCCACTCTAAAATCAGGAACAAGTCAAGGATATCCACTATCTTTAAATATTGTTTTGGAAACACTAGCTACAGCAAGAAAAGAGAGAAATAAAAGGAATGAGGGTAGGAAAGGAAAAAGTTAATTATCATTAGATCAGAAATAATCTCCCAGGAAGTAAAAGACCTATATACTGAATATTACAGTACTGTGAAATACATAATATTTTATATAGAAGACCCCAAAAATGCCACCAAAAGATTTCTAGATTTCAGAAACATTCAGCCGCATAGCTGGATATAAAGACAACACTCAAAAATTAGTAGCATTCCTGTACACAAACGATAAACACACTGAGCAAGAAATTAGGGTAACCACACTCTTCACGATACCATGTAAAATAATGAAATAAATACTTAGAAGTCAGTGTAACAAAGGAAGCCAAAGACCTGCCCAAGAGCTGAACCTGTGTGAGTTGAATCCCAGCACACAAGGAAGCTTTGGAACTTTGCTCCCAGGCAGTAAGACCACACCCAGCATCCCAAATCACCGGAGGATGCACAGGAGATGCCCACAGGCCTAACAGGGCTACATCCAGCAACCTCCAAGCCTAGAAGTTGCCTGCAGTCTGCCCAAAAGTGGGCCAGGTGATTCCCAGAGCATGGGGGATACTTTGGGGCATCGCTCGAAACCCAGAAATACAGGATAATGACAAAACGAAAGAGCAAAACGCAATCTCAAACTTCCAGCCTAGGAGCAATCCCAAGCAAGCCTAGGAGTCATGGATATAGAAGAAAATGTAAGCCGTACACTTGAAATTCCTGAAATGATAATAACTGAAATAAACAATTCCAGGAAGCTATAAAAGAACTTGGATCAGAAATAATCTCCCAGGAAGTAAAAGACCTATATACTGAATATTACAGTACTGTGAAAAAGAGATCAAAGGGGATATCAGGGAACAGAAAGATATCCCTTGCTTATGGATAGGAAGAGCCAACATAGTGAAAATGGCAATACTCCCAAAATTCTTGTACAGATAGATTTAAAGCAATCCTGACCAAAATATCATTAGTGTACCTCACAAACCTAGA